AAAACGGGGCTAAAAACTGGAGTCTGGTTGATTTTCAGGTTGTTAGTCTGCTGGGGGTCGAGCTTTTCAGATGTTCTGCTTTCAGGATTTAAAGTTTGATTAATGCTAATAAATTCAGATAGAAATAGCCTGTGAGTCACTGAACCCATATATTAAAGAAAAGCACTGGTAGACAAAGAGTGCTGTTGTTGATGCGTTATACTCGCGACCTCTGACCTCTCTGGGTTCAGTCTGTCAGTGAAACCAGCTGACTGGAACTATACAAAGCTGTGTGTGGACTTGTTTCTAATCCATAAACGATAAATTTCAAAAGCAGCAGCAGAGCAGTCCTCCAACCACCGCAGTTTGTAACTAACGCCCCCTGTTGGTCACTGACCAATCAGAGCACATCATTAAGGAGCTCAGTTGGCCTCTGTAACCACACTTCTCTCTTCCTAAGTTTTCCAGTGAGGTGGAGATAAAGTTTACGGGGAAAAAAACTTCTTTTTTTTTAAACTAACTGACTATCCCCTCGTTCCTGAAGGTCACTGACGATGTTCAGACCTGGATGCCAGAGGGGAGGACAGAGTAAGGATCCATAATCCATTTCCTGTTTGACCAGAAACTAAAAAACTGTGGCTGAACAGAAACCTACAGCTTCAACTTTGATACTTTAAACAGAAACAAGAAATCATGATTGAAAATGTAAAAAACATTCTCAGATTCATGTTCGATCAGAGATAAGAAGGACGACGTATTCTGCTCTCTACAAATGTTTCTCCACTATTCACGTTCTGCATGTATTCCTCATCAGTAGCAGCTGCATCATTGTTTTAATAGGAGCTGAGATGCTGTCTCTCACGAGTGCATGTTTCTCTAAATGACTCCTGGAGAATAAAACTACTCTGAGGAGCTGAAACATGAGAGAGACTCCAGAATTAGTAAAGCCACCTTTTCTCGCACGCGCTCAGTCTGCAGCTCCACAGCACAGAGCTCCTGTCTCCAGGTAGCTCAATCATAACCAACTCACCTGCAGCGACCTGAGGGCGGAGTACAGGGCGGGAGAGGGAGCAGCTCCACGGGCATCCACCAACACCGTCAGCCCCGAAGCTAGCACCTCCTTCCTGTTCCATGAAAGAAGTGATATCAGAGGGTGGACAGCACAGAGACCTGGGTAACAACAGTAACAGAGGAGTGTACCTGAGGATGGAGGTGTAGTAAAGGAGGAGGCGGGGCAGCTCAGTGCTGTCACAGTCCAGGTGGGACCACACGGGGCTCGTGGTGGAGACGGTAAGCAGCGCTCGCCCACCTTTGTCTCTGGTTCCTGCAGGAAGACGCAGCAACTTCATTTACACACAGAAACAATGACTCCAACTCTGAAGTTCAGTCTCTGCTCCACCTGCCCAACTTTATAAACCTCAGGCTGGAGCTTCTGACTGCCCTGATCTTAGTCTAGTCGGGTCTGAGGCCTGAAACTGGTTGGTACATGACGTTTGTGTTTTCTCACCAGGCAGACAAACAGCTCCAGACCTCAGCAGCATACTGTACAGTCTGGACTGGGAGGACTGGGTGACAGGCTGGACTACCCTTGGAACAGCTGCTGGTTGTTCTGTCGGATTCGAACCAGCAGCCAGAGCAACCTCTGACTGGGCAGGACGCAGCTCACTGCAGAGGCCTGTGAAGAGATGCCGAAATGAACCTGTGTTACTCACAGTGTACTGGCACAGCAGGCCTGTGAGGCCCAGTTTTCATGTATGACACACATAATGGACATGTTCTCACAACTAGAAATACTGTGGTGCTGGGGTTCTCTCACACATGCAAAAAAAAAGAAAGAAAGACCATTTATAGTCCAATCTGGCCATCAAGGACATTTTCATTCTGAGATTCAGCTCCGCCAGGTCATGCCTGCTAAATTTCAGGGCTGCGGTTAATGTAGTTAATGAAGAACTTTAACCGTTAACCTCAAAATGGCAAAACAGCTAAGAACCAGACAAAAGTGTCCTCACTGTCAAGGTCTCCACGTCTGAGGACACAAATACAACAGTGCACGCACGCACGCACGCGCACACACACACACGCACACACACACACACACACACACACACACTGCCTGAAGACTTTAAACCACGAGTGTCAAACTCCTTCACCGTCCACAAAGAGCTGAATTTAATCTCAAGCACAACCAAAATCATTCCCTTCTTCAGTTTTCAGCTTTTTGTTCACTTAAGTCAAGATGTTGTAAATAAGCTGAAACTGAAGTGACGTACGCCCCTCACCTCACTCCTTTAACATTTAACAGAAGGTATCAGCTCTTCTTTTTTTTTTTAATCATTTTTCTCATTTACGTAGTGAACTCGAAGAAAAGCAGATGATAAACAGTCTGTAACATCTTAAGATAAACAACAAACTCCAGCAGAGATCTCAGTTTTTCCACACTACTGGACAGGCATGGAGGCTTCACCTGTAGAGTTTCTAAATCCACAAAACTAGAAATGCCTTCATCTTTCATAGACTATCGCTGGCGTCACTGCAACAGGAACAGCAGGGGATTTTATTGACCAATAAAGTAATTCAGAATTTTACACTTTTTTTAAAGCCATCTATTGGGTCCCACTGGATGATATAATTTTGATTTTAAATAAAGAGAGAATGTTTTCAGTTAATTCTCAGAGTCCAAGGCTTCATCAGGGTTTCACAAAGTGCAAGTCAGTCGCAGGTGGGAAACAACCCCTGTGCTGTGCGGTATAACCCACAGGGGGTGCTATAATGAAAAGCAGAAACCTCGTGTACAAATATTAAAAGTGTGGAAAAACTTAAGTACAATAATATAATATAAATAAATCATGCAGCTACTAAACAAAACAAAACAAAGTTTTCATGATGTTCATGTCTGAACTAACCAAATTGACCAAACTCAAATTACAAAACAAAATAAATCTATAGAGCAAAAAAGTTACGTGCTGATACACACAGACAACGTAGACTCCCTGACACGCGCTCTCACCAAACCTAACATGAAGACAGAGGATCTCAGCAGTTCCTGTGGTTATGCTTCCTCTGCATGAGATCTATCCAGGCTTCCGTGATTTTGTTCAGTAAACAAATATATCACCTGTGCATCCTTACTCAGTATGTTACTGTCAAGTGTTGGAGCCTATAAGGCAGCGCTCAGGGCAGCAGAAACTGACCTCTTACTGTTTTAGGTATTCTGGGTGATTCGTTTACATTACGATGCACAGAGTCGCTTTTTAGATCAAAAGCTTGAGGTCATCAAGACTCTGCTGCATCTGAACACATCGTGATAAATCTGCATATTTTACTATTTGTTAAACAACCGGAGGGATGAGACGTTCAGCTTTCTCTGAACTGAAAGACACTGCAGAGAATTCCCCTTAATGGAGCCTGGAGCGAGAGCACAAGGCACACAACTTCCTGTCTGCTCTTGGGTAACGGAGGCAGAGCAGGCCGAAAAAAGGTGAATGGTCCTTTAAATGATCAACGCAGTCGTGTGAAATGTGAGATTTTAGAGAAAAAACTGAAAACCTGACACAAACTCGTTCACGAGCTGCTCCTGCAGCCACACAGGTGAGTTAAAACAGGAGGTGAAGTCGAGGGTAGTTTTAGTGAAAGAGATGCAAAGGAGGAACCACTCAGCCAATGAGGAGGAGGAGGATGTGATAAAGGAGGAGAAAGAGTGAGTCTGATGGTCTGTGGGAGGAAAAGCAGGAGAGGAAAATGTACTGAGGAGGAGAAACGGGTTCATGTACCTTCAGTGTGACACTCTGAAGCTCCAGCAGCCTCCTCACAGCTCCACCGCTCCTCTTCTTTTTGGACTTCCTGTCCACTGTTGGACTCCTCAGCTTTTGTCGGAAGCAAGTTTTGATGTGCTGCTGGTGTGGAGACGCAGTGCAGTGTTTTACACTCCTCCGCATTATTCTCACCAGTACTGGATTGATCAGATTCTTCTGTGGGTCCCTGAAGTGCACTGCTTTCAGAATAAAAGTCATCGCAATGTGCTTTGTTTTTAGAATAAGAGTCCCCAGGGTCAGGTGTACTTTCAGAATATGTGCTTGCTAAGTGAGAGTCTTCTGTATTATTTTCAGAAGAGCTCTGAGGTTGTGTTTCTTTTTCAGAATTAAAAGTTCCTTGATGTGTTTGCAGTGTGTTGCTTTCACAATAAGAGTCCCTATGTTGTGTTAGATGTGTGCTGTTTTCAGAAAACAAATCCTTGATCTGCTTGTATCCTGTGCTGAGCACTTCAGAGCATGTGTGCTGTGTCTGTTTTTCAGAATAAGAGTCCTTGTAATATGGTTCGGTTGCTGTTTTTTCAAAATAACAGCACTCAGTGTGACGCTGTTTATTTTTTTCTGAGTCAGCGTGTCGTTCTCTTGCTGTACTTTCAGAATAATAGTCCGGGAAGTGCGTTTCTGGTGCTGTGTTTTCAGAATACGAGCCCTCAGTGTCTGTTTCTTTTATGTTGCTTTCAGAATACGAGTCTCTTGCCATCTCTTGCTTGTTATTTTCAGAATTAAAGTCACTGGAGTCTGTCTGTTTAGTGTCACTTTCAGAATAAGAGTCTTTGTAATGTGCTTCTCGTACTGTGTTTTCAGAATAAGAGTCCTGAATGTGTGGTTGTTTGTTATTTTCAGGATAACAGTCCTCACAACGTGACTCTGTAGATATGTTTTCAAAATAAGACTGCTCAGATTTACTTTGTGGTTTGTTGCTTTCAAAATAAGAGTCAACAGCGTGTGCACGCTGTGTGGCATTTTCAGGATATAAGGTTTCTGAGTCTACGTTTTTTATGTTTTCCGAATAGTCCACAGAGTGCGTTTCTGGTGCTGTGTTTTCAGAATAAGAGTGCTCAGTGTGTAGTGGTTGTTTGTTATTTTCAGGATAACAGTCCTTGCAATATGATTCTGTAGCTATTCTTTCAGAATAAGATTCCTCAGAATGTATTTGTGTTTTGCAATTTTCAAAGCAAGAGTTACTGGAGTGCGATTGCTGTGCATCACTTTCAGAATTTGAGGTTTTTACTGGTTTTATGTTTTCAGAATAAGAGTCCTCGTAGTATGGTTCTGTAGTTTTGCTTTCAGAATAAGAGCCCTGCCAGTGTTTCTGTTTTGTGTTATTTTCAGAATAAGAGTCTGTATAATCTGTTTCTGTTACCGAGTTGATGGAGTGTGCTTGTTGTGTGTTATTTTTTAAATAAAAGTTTTCAGATTGCTTTTGTTGTGCGTTACTTTCAAAATAAGAGTCTTTATCTGTGTGAACCTCTCCACATCCCTTTTCTTCTTCTGTCTCTCCTCCTCTTGCATCTTCTGTCACCATTTCCTCATCCTCATTTCTTTCTTTACTTTGTTGCACAATCACAACCTGTATCTCCTCCTCGACCTCTACTTCCTCTGGGCCTTCTTCTACCTCATCTTCTCCATCTTCATTCAACTCGTCTTCTCCATCTCCCTCTGTATCTTCACTTTCAGCTTCCTCCTCATCACTTGGGAACTTTTCCTCCTTTGGCACCTCCTCTTCTTCCTCAGCAGCTGAAATTACAGCTTCCTCCTTGTTACTTTGCTCCTCCCCCCCCTCCTCCACGCTCATTTCTGTGCAGGTTTCAGGTTTAGTGTTCAGATTTGTGCCTGTGTCAGTACCTTTTGTTTCTTCCGATTCACAGATGGATGTTCCTGTGACTTCAGGAGGGGCAGAGGAGGAGAAAGGGGTCGGGACCACAGCTTCACGGTGGTCCTGGTGGATGCTCTCTTCCATGAGCCTGCAGGTTGCATCCTCACAGGGCTGCGGGAAGTTGCTGTGTGCGTGAGCAGTGAGTGTGGAAGCAGCAGAGTGTATGTTGGTGGTTTGAGGAGTGAGTGCGGTAGCAGCAGACAGTGTGTGTGTGGTGGTATGTGTACTTGTCCTGGCTCGGTGCTGCAGGCTGATGGACTGGGTTAAAGAGCCTTTCTGTGGGGAGAAGCGAGGAAGCGGGAGCTCCGTCAGCTCCACGTACTCCCCCTCCGAGTCCTCGCCCCCGCTGTTTGCTGGTGATTGGTCTGTTTTAGGCGAAGATGGGAGGTGCTTCACATCACTTGAAGAGGTTGCTTCTCTGTTGTTGTCAGATGATGTCTTGATTGCCACATCTTTGCCCTTAATGGAGGAGTCCTGGTCCTCCTTCGGAGCAGCACAGGGCCGACTGATGAATTGTGGGTAGACCAGATCCTCCCAGGGGACCCTAAAGACGTCTCCGTGGGCGGAGAGGAGGCAGCGCTCCAACCTGGGTGCTCCGCGCTGCTCCCTCTCCCTGTTGACGGAGTCTAACCAGGCCATGCTAAAGAGCGACTGCAGAGCTACGCCAGACACCTCCTGCTGCTCCACATGATGGCTGCCGGCCGACTTGCTGCACAGGAGCAGGCGCGGTTTTAACGGGTTGTCGCCCCTCCAGGAGGCCCTGTGTGCTCGAGGAGGGGGTGGGGCTGCAGAAGGAGAAACCAGCAGGTAGAAGTCTCCTGGACGGAGGAGGCGTGGGTCCAGATGACTGAGCTGCACGACTACCTTCTCGTGGATGCACAAAGGCCAGCCTTCATGACGAAACAGGAAACCACAGTACTGCAGCTGAGGAGAGAAGAGAGCATCCCAGTCAAGACAGAGCGTCATTAAAATCCTGGTTCTGAAGAATATCATCTGTATGGGTGCAAACTAACACCTTCTCCAAATATTGGAACAGAGCAACCACAGAGATTCAATTAAATCTGAGTAAAGTTCCCACCTGATCCCCTCAGAATCAGCTGATTTATCTCTTACAATAACTTTAATCTCTTTAAAGCAAAAGTTTACCTTCATTGTCAAATAACTTGCCCTAAAAGCACACGGGTATAAGTTGTCACTACATCTCTCCATGTGTAACAATCCAAAGCTAAAATCTTGCTAACTTTGAGCATCAGTATCACAGGATACATCATAGTTTTAATAGCAAAACCTGCACTAATTTAACATCTATGGCATAGAGCAGGGGTGTCCAACATGAGGAGCACAGACTCCAACCTGTCCCACTGGAGCATGTTGGAAAAGGTGAAGAAGAGGATAAATTTTGGAATTTCTTTCTTCAATGAAGCGAAATTCCTTTAACAGGTAGAAAAACACATAATTCTGAAATTGCAATGTGTAGTCAAACGTCTTTTCACTGCCACACACAAGAGATTCACTGATCCGACCCACTTAAGATGAAAGTGGGCTCCATGTGGCCCAGGTTGTAAAATCAACTGGACATCCCTGGCACGGAGGAACAGAAACGAGCACTGGAGCACGGAGGGCAGGTGGCTGGTCAAAACACTCCAACAGCCCCATTTTAAAACTTGTGAATTTCACTGTGAAATGAAGAAACCACACTGTTGTATATAGCAGTCTCAACATGATGATCAAACAACTTTAGGCCCTGAAGATTTTCAAAGTTCGTGAAGGACACAGAGGATCCACGGATGATCTGTCTGCAGGTTGTTGCACCATCTCCTGTTCAGCTTGTGACAATTTTCTCTGGCGTAAGATGCCACATCCCTTTTATTTGGTTTACTAAACTTTAGAGGGGAAACTAAAAGTTCTGCATCTTCATCCGCTATTCAGATCATGCAGTGATCCTGAGACTTCATTTAAACCCACTCCTCTGTGTTCTGAGGGCCTGTGACTTGGAACATTTTGCATAGCCTCATTAACAAAAGTGAAAAAATACAAAAAGTGAAAAAACACAAAAGCTTATTTTGAAGGGCAGGTACTGGTTGATCTGTCATTAATATTTTTTAACAAGAGAACAGTGCTTAAAAGTCCATGTTTGGCAGCTGTGGCACATCTGTATCCACTTAGGCTGCTGTAGCTGCTCAGTTAATGAGTCCCTCAAACAGTCTGACATCTTTCTGTTCATTTACAGTCAAAAGTTGCATCACGAAGAAAAACACGCAAACTAGAGAGCAGCAGAGCCTCCCCAAATCTGACGGGACGTGAACGCCCAGCAGCGAGCACGTGAGCTTTGGAGTCGAACACGTACGACAGGCAGGAACAGACACGAATATTCTGTGAGTCGTTTGATTCAGAAACAGTGATAATCTGTGCAGAGATTCCTGTCTGTTCTTGTGTTCACCATCCAACCTGATGTAACAACAGACTACAGCAGAGTGAATCCACAACAAACAGACACTGAGCGTAAGTTAAGGATGCTTAAAGGTGTGATGAGATTACTCGGGGAAATGCAGAGATACTCACACAGGCATCCTGCTGGAGGTTTTGTAAGAACTGCTTTGCCGGCAGCAGGAAGTGGAGGAGGTAGCGGAGGCCGTCTCCTCGGTAACAGCGCTCCACAACGCTGAGGACCTGACAGAGGACAGTTGGGGATGTGGCTTGGAAGGGTGGGTAGAGGGCTGCCAGAGCCGACTGGATGCACCGGTCCAAAGATTCAGAGTCCTGCAAAGAGTAAGAGACGTTTTACTTCAAAGGTAATTTATTTCAGCTGGCAAATCTAAGAGCTCAGACACACTACAGAAGAACCTTTAAACACACAAGGTTTCAATCTTCTTTAATGTGAGCTTCAGACGACACGATAACATCTCAACTGTGGATTGAAGTTGAGAGCTGGTAACAAATTGTCATCACCATCTGAATTTTATGCCTCTGTGCTTATCAAACAATCAATGCTGGCATGTTTTCCTGAAAGGTGGAGATTGCAAAACAGCAATGTCAAACTCACTTGTCAAACTCACTACCCTGCGTTAAGAGACGGATAATAAAACAGTTGCGCTGACGCTGAAAACAATGTGCAGGCCTAATTCTTTCCAAGTTTACTTTTACTGTGCGCTGTACAGTACAGTATCTGATGCAGACTGACTGTTTTGTTTATTTGTTAGTTTAAGGAAGTCCTCTCTGGCTCCTCTGTCCTGATTTTATCATGCTGCTGATAAAAGACGTCTCTCAACCAAATCGCTCTATAATGAGCCGCTCAGACCAACAAAAGGTGCTTCCATGGTATTAAAGAATAATCAGTTTCAGCTCATGTGGCCTTAATGCTGGGCTGTGTGTCACAATCAGCAGTAGAACAGCCCAAACTGCAGAGGATACAGGAGAGAACATGTGAGTGTGTGTCTGCAGAACATCCAGCTGTTGTCTTTAAAAACGCCACACCTCTGCATCACATTCCAGAACAGACAACAGCTCCTCTGTTCCCATCTGTTCAGACTGATCAAAGGGACTGATCGGATCGCCTCGGAGACCACAGCAGCTTCCTCTCCCGCTATGACCACACGTCATGCGAGTGTGCTGCACCTCCACGGTCAGCTGTCGTGTGTCCGTAAAGCTGCTCTCACACTCATGTGCTTCCAATTGACACATTTGATTAATGTTTAAGGCCAAGCACAGAAGGCAGGCCCTGGAGGTGTGGCTGGGAGGCCCCGTCTGCAGCGGTAACTGGACCCACTGGTCTGGAAGTAGCGGCGACTGGTCAGGTAAAAATATCCGCACCCCGTCTGGCTCCAGACAGCCCTCTGAGGTGCGTGCGTCCATGCCTCCTCTTCCTCCTCTTTAATTCAACATGTTTAACATTCCAGGCAGAAGCACACTGACTGGCAGCTCCACCCTCAGCGTCGGCTTCACTCACACAGACAAATAAGCTCAGTTTTCCTCCTTTTCCTGTCGTTAACGATCCAGGAGCAGCAGGTCGCCGCTGTGCAGCACCTGAGAAGCACCTGCAGCTACAAACCAGCAAGGAAGCGATAAGAAAATCTAATTTTCAACCAACTCTTCACCGTGAAGAGGAAGTTACACAACAGAGACCATTAAAGATCTGCAGTGGACAATTATCGGCATTCAGTTTTAAATATTAAAAAAGAAAACCCTTTTCATATTTTCCTGTGTTTTTAGCACCGCCAGGAAGGACGTTTCTATGGAAATAAGGGTGACGCTAACACAGCTCAACACACCAACACACCAGGGTAAAGTGTGGTGGGATGGAGTGCCAAGTGTCAGAAAAATAAAGGAAAAAGAGGTTTTGGCATGAGTTGAATGAAACCTGCCACAGCCTCTCTTTTTTTTCTTCTTTTAATTGTTTCATGTCAAATGTCTTGCTTTCATAGTCGCTGGAAACCAGGATTGTAACCAAGATTACATTTTGATGAATTGCACAACTATACAGAACTATGCACAGCGTCACTGGAGAGTGGTTTGGGGTGGAGCGCGTTCTTGAATGAACAGTGTAATAGTTCCAGATAGCTGAAATGCCCATCCCTGATAATTAACTGTATTTATAATGAAGTTAAAAACAGGTTTACCAAGTGCTTTACAGCTATACATCCAAGCAAAGTTAAACAAACGCAGCACATTATAAAACAGAAAATACAGAAACTCAGTAATCGAGACTGATACATAACTTGTCGTAAAATACATAAAAAGCTGTTTTATAAGCTTTAAAAGTGGATACGAGGGCAGCTCGTGTGATTATCAGCTGAAGCTTGAAGTGGAGTCTGTCTGTCGCCTGGCCTTCGGGACCAAAGGCAACAGCTGGTCCGAGTCTACAAGGAGGCATGCGAGTTTAATATAAGACTGGGGTTGGGCAACTAATTTTAATGTCATGAGCGATTTTGGCATCCGATGGTTATGAAAACAAGATAATTGCTACAAAAGCTCTCCCTCTCTCTCTGGTTTATTTTTGGCATTTTAAGTCTTTATTTGACAGCATTGTGTAGCAAGAGGAAGATACAGAGAGAGGGGGAGGGGCAGCCCGGAGCTGCCCAAGTCCAGTCCAGACCCACGTCCAAAACCATCCTCACCTCCATCCATCCTTATCCTGTCTGAGCAGGACGTTCCAGATATCTCCTCCCAATAATGTTTTCCAGTTCTTCCCAGGGCATCCAAGTTGCTCCCAGACTAGACAAGATATGTAATCTCTCATGAATTGAAGGTCAATCCCGTTGTTTACTCCCAGTTGGGGTTGTTTGGAAAATTTAAGGCTGAGCTCAGTTTGGCTGCTTTTGTCCACCACAGCTCACGAGCACAGTTGAAGGCCGGAACAAAGATCAACTGACTCCACTTTCTCTTCCCCACAACAGTCTGGTACAATGCCTCATGCTACCTCTACTTACCCATGTCATGCTCCACCATCTCTAGAGATATCTGCACTCCCTTGGTTGGTGCAGCAACGTTCCTCGATTCCCAGAAGGAGCAATCCACCATTTTCCAAGAGAGAAATGTGGCCTCTGACTGAGAGGTGCTGACCCTTATAGCAGTCACTTCTCACTTTGCTACAAACCGCCACATTGCAAGATCAAAGTCACATCCTGATGAACACGTCTTTCATTCACATTTCACTTAAAGTTCTAAATGCTTCGTGTAAAACACGTTCTTAAGTGAAAGCTGCTTCTTGTTTAAGTTTGTGAATACTCAGATTCAAGTACTGACCCAAATAGGCGCATGACTCCTGCTGTAATCAAGCAGTTTTAACATAAATCAGTTGAGATCATCTCTGGTAGCAGTGCAGGGAGGGGGAAAATGGGAGACATGCTCGCCGTTCTCAGCTGCACACTTCGGCACATTCTGTTGATGATTTCTGGGACCGTTACAGAAATCCAGATCACTGCAGATAACAGCATGACAGAGTTTGTGCATCATCCATGGTCTCTGTGATAAAGGATGCCTTCAGTGTGTCTTCATACTAAACTGATACCATCAGTCACACCGAGTTGCGAAAAAAAGTCTACCTTCATTGTCCTCCAGAGGGCAGAATTCACGAGGCAGGTGCCTTCAGGCGCCAGCATTAAACGACTGGAGGCTTACAGGTGACAGTTGTTTAAGTCACAAAAGCTTATGTCATGATTTTTAATGCACCAGCATCTTTTTCTATTGAATGTAAGCACAACATCGGCAATGAACTCAAGTCCAAGTTCAGTTTAAAGACAACCAGTGTTGACTAAATCATGGATATAATCCTGACAACATAGGTTATTCCTAATTTGCTAATAAATTCATAATAGTTTAATCAGAAAGATGTAAAAACTACAAATATGACAGAATGTGTAACTGAGTGTTTGTGTTTTCTTTTTCACAGCGCAGACAGATGGTGATGTAAGACAGCACCACGATCTTATTTATCTGCTGTATGAGTCTCAGATGCAGAGATTACGTCACTGCATCACAGCAAAAAAATAAATAAAATAAATTGAACATTATTTTCTGTTTTTCTAAGCAGCTTCTTTAGCGTTTAAATTCTCCTTATTTGACTTTGTCCTGACTGTAAAGTTTGACGCTTCTGTTTATCGGCCGTATTCAAAGCGCCCACAGACCTGTTGAACTGACCCTGCGGTGATGTCACTAACAGTTTCCAGTTGTGTCGTCCTGCTCAGCCAGCGTTCCCCTTCAGCCTCGGCTGAATATTCTGGATGTGAATCAGGCGACAACTGGCAGCCAAATGCAACACTGAGGCCAATATTAGCAGCAGGATATCAGATGACAGCTGGCGCAGGGGGACAGGGGACCGGGGGGGGATTTTTGTGCTGCTGAAAAGCACCGCGGCAGGTTGTGGACGATCATGAGTTTAAAGTGCTGATGCAAACAGAGACCGATCGTAAACACAGCGGCGCTCCAAAAGTTACAACCGGAGTGAAAATAAATGGGCACTGATGGACGTCTCTGCTGACGTGACACTGACACAAAGCTGGCAGCTTCATCAACGACAGAAATTTACAGATTCATCGCTGCACCGCCAAACTTCAGATCGTTTTGTAAACCGTGGACAGTTCGTATTTACTACATTCATATCTTATACTGTCTATGGCCTACAAGTAAGAAAGCACTGTGAAAATACAGCATGCATATGTAAGAGCTATTTGAAAATGTGAAATATAGACATTCTTAACTCATCATAATAAGGCCAGTATGTTAACATATGTTTAGATCATCTTCTCTGAGGTGCGATGAGCTAATGGTCTCTCCTTTTCTGCATTAGGACTCTTAATATGCATTAATACGTGTTTCAAGAACCAGAAAACCTCAGTGACACAGTCCAGGAGGAGTAAACCCATTAAACATACTTCACATCTTTTATGTTGCTGATATAAACTGTAAACCTACTCTGTTGTGTAACAGCATGAAAAGACTGTAGGAATCACGATGTATATAAAAGCGAGGATTACAGTATTAAGACTGCAGCTCAGGCTTGCTTTGAGAGGGTGAGGAGGATGATGGGAGGGGGCCGCATCAAAGCAGGCTGAGAGAGGTTCCCATGGGAGAAAGAGAGAGGCCACCCACTCTGAATAATAACTTCATTATCCTCAACACACCAGAGTCCTGTGATAAAAACACTGCTTTTACTTTCATTCAGATTTACAGAGTTTCAGTCAGTTCGGCCTCTAATCCGGAGTGCAGCAACAGAAGAGTCTCACTCCTGAGATCACTTCACAACGTAAACACACCAATTAGGA